TAAGCCGTGGGCTGATAGCAGGGCTGGCCCTAGCTTATTTTGCACCCTAGGCAAGGATCGCTTCTGGCGCCCCCCCCTGTGCGCCCCCCAGGACACCCGGAGAAGAGGCTGACCAGTGGGGCACTCACAAGCCGTCGCTCCCCCGGCCCTGCTGCTGCAGCTGCCAGTCCCCAGCCGTGAGGAAGAGGAGGAGGAAGAGGAGAAGCACTCCGCTGGGAAGCCAAGGGGGCAGGCAGGGAGAAGTTAGCCAGCCAAAGAGGCAGCAGGCGGGGGCGGGGCGGGGGTCACCCGGACGCAGAAATGCAGGGCTTTTAGCAGGGGGGCTTTTGGCGAGGGGGCAAGTGCAGTTTGGTGCCCCTAAGGGCCGGCGTGCTCTAGGCAAACGCCTAGTTCACCTAGTGAGCGAGCCGGCCCTGGCTGATAGTCTCTCTGCCTACATCACTAAAAGGTTGGAAGCTTGCATTAAGATGCTGGGACTGTGTTCACGGAACCCTTGAGCAAAGGAGGAAAAACAGCAAGGAGCAAAACCTTACGAGCGCCGTGACCAGCTCTGTCCTGCTCTGTCGTGCTGCTTCCCTGCATTCCTCGTTATTATTTTTTTAACAGCTCCTTGTACAATATGTATTTTCCCCCCTAACAAAACACGGCAAGAGCTGCATCAGACAGAAAGGCTGCCAGGTTCCGTGGCATTCAGCATCAGCGGCTTTAGGTAAGGAGTTGCTGAAGATATTGGTCTCTGTGTTCTGATGAGGCTTGCCAAACTCCATGTCGCACCTGGAGATCTCCTGCTCTCACAACTGACTTCCGAGCAACGGAGATCAGTTCACTGGAAGAAAATGGCCACTTCGGAAGGTGGACTCTGTGACATTATTACACCCTGCTGAGATCCCTACCCTTCCCAAACCCATCCGTCCTCAGGTGCCACTCTCAAATCTCCCAACCCAGAGCTGCCAACTCTAGTTCTAATCCCCTAGTAAAGGTAAAGGTCTCCCTTGCTCGAAAGCCAGTCGAATGCGACTCTAGGGGTGCGGTGCTCATCTCCGTTTCAAAGCCGAAGAGCCAGCGCTGTCCGAAGACGTTTCCGTGGTCATGTGGCCGGCATGACTAAACACCAAGGCGCACGGAACGCTGTTACCTTCCCACCGAAGTGGTCCCTATTTATCTACTTGCAATTTCTTGCTTTCGAACTGCTAGGTTGGCAGGAGCTGGAACTAGAGACAGGAGCTCACCCCGTCTTGCGGCACCCGGGCCACTTGGCAGCCCTAATATTATAGCATTGGGAAAAGTGCAGAAAAGGGCAATTAGAATGATAAAAGGGTTGGAACACTTTCCCTGTGAAGAAAGGTTAAAGCACGAATAAGTAACGAATAAGGAATGAATAAGGAGGTGCGAATAAGGAACCAACTTCAGCCTCCTGACTGAGGGCTGACATGATCGAGATTTATAAGATTATGCATGGGATAGAGCAGGTAGAGAAAGAAATACTTTTCTCCCTTTCTCACAATACGAGAACTCGTGGGCACTCCATGAAATTGCTGAGCAGTCGGGTTAGAACGGATAAAAGGAAGTCCTTCTTCACCCAAAGAGTGATGAACACATGGAATTCACTGCCACAGGAGGTGGTGGCAGCCACAAGCATGGACGGCTTCAAAAGGGAATTAGATAAGCATATGGAGCAGAGGTCCATCGGTGGCTATTAGCCACAAGGTATAGATAGGGGCTCTGGGGCAAGGGATGCTCTGTCTTCTTGGTGCTTGGGGAGGGGGGGTCCACAGTGGGAGGGCTTCTAATGTCCTGGCCCCACTGCTGGACCTCCTGAGGGCCCCTGGTATTTTTGGCCACTGTGTGATACAGAGTGTTGGACTAGATGGGCCATTGGCCTGATCCAACATTGGCGTCTCTTATGTTCTTATATTTCTTACATGGATTGTTGCCTTTCTGCCTGCCATTAAAAAGGAGGGAGCTTTCTACCTTCGTGCCAAAAGAAAGCTCGACCTATCGAACGTCCGCCTGGCAAACTGCCTTTGGAGGTGCCGAACCTTCAGGACAGCGGCGACCTTCTCAAGATGGAGGCCGCAGCCAACGCTGGCCCGCCGTGGCTTCCTTTCGCCCTCCCCATCATGGCGCCGCCACAGCGCCCGTCACGTGCCCGGAGGGAACGCCCCCTTTTCCTTCCCGATCAGCTGAGCTCGACGTTGTCATGTGACCGTCCAGGCTGGCAGAACCAAAGGCAGGCAGGCGTTGGGCGCCCTGGGAGAAAGAAGCCGCTGCCGCAAGCGGGGTAAGGCTGGCTCGCACCCCGGGGGCTCTGGGGTGGCACTGAGACGTCGGCATCGTCCCCCGGGGCAGGATCTTGCGCCAAGGAGGAGCTGTCAGTGGAAGTCCCGTGATCCGTGTTGCAATTAGAGGCGGGGCTTCCTCTGCAGGGGACCCCCTGTGCTGATGGCAGGCTGGAATCCCGTAGATCACGAAGCCGCATGCACGCCGTGCCCCTTTTCGTTCGGGCCAGCCAGAATGGCACGACCTCTTGGCTTTTGAGGCCATAGGTAGCCTCCTTTCTGATTGGTTGAGCTCCCTGGGGTGGCCCTGCGGGGAGGGGGAGGGCGGTTTTATGCCTGCCTGGAAAGTAAGGAGGAGCTGAACTGACCGTAGGCAGGAGCGGTACAGTAAGGAGAGTGGAACTGGAATTTTGTCCCATCCCATGAGGTTCGTAACGGGGAGGAGTCGAACCCCAAGCCTCTTGTTTGCTGGGAACCAATGTTCCCTCTAAGCTGTGGAATCTTGTGAGCGAAAATTCTACTTTGTGAGCTACCAGCATTAAAGTTGTGAGCAAGCGATTTGGCTGCTGCATGAATTAGTTTGCTCTGGAGCCATCCTTCCTGAGCTAAGACACAAATGTGTGAGCTAGAGGCTAAAAAACTGTGAGCCAGCTCACACTAACTCAGTTTAGTGGGAACACTGCTGGGAACTCGGGGGATCTGCCTTGAAAATTCCTCACCTTACTCCCCTAGGTGTTGAGAGGCTGGCTGTAATGAATTCTGAGCCAGTCAGGAAGAATGCACTCTGCACATGCTCAGCTGTGCTTTCAAAATAAGCAACCCGGGGTTTTTATACAGAGCCTGAATCATCATGCGTAGCACTGATGTTGTGCGTCAGTGAAGGATGTATCAGACACGTGGTCTTGTTATAATCCTTAAAATAGCCCTGTAAGGGGTACCAGTTTTCCTATTGCAGGCAAAATGATGGAGGTGAGATTCGCATCAAGGACCTCCTGGATGACCGCTTGCTCTCTTAACTGGTGTGCAGTTCTGTGCTTTAAAATTAAATATCAAAGCACTTTGCACAGGGAAAAGTTGGATTCTTTGAGGTGTATAAATAAAGTGTTAGGGTTTTGTGGGATATTTCTGTTAGGCAAGGAAACAGAAGAGGAGGTATTGAAGTTATTACTAAAGATCTTATTCGGCCCCTTCTCTGGCTTTTCAAATTTAGCAGGTGTTAGACATATGATTTCAAGGATACCTTCACAACTGTGTGGGCTAGAAACAGAGGATTCTTTGCCAACTAAAATCTCTGGCTAAAACCTGAACTGACCCGTTACTACTACTAACCGGTTCATAATAAGATCCCTGGAGCAATCAATTCTTAACCTGGTACCTGAAGGAGAACAAAAAGAAAGCCCACTGAATCTCCTGGGGCAGGGAGTTCCGAACGTTTTCCCTGGAGAACAGGTACAGCCCCATCTCATGATCTGATGCTTTCCCCCTTGAGGTGCTGCATCATCCCTTTCTCTCTCCGTGGTACAGGGACTCCCCCGGAGAGCTTCCTTTCACACAGTTTTTGCCCCATCACCTTCAGGGACCGATGATGCCATCCAACAAATTGGACTCAGTTGCTCCAGTCTTCCAGTTTACCAACTGCTGGATTTTGAAGAACCACAAACTGCAGAGGTGAGTTTTTCTCTGACTTCTTCTGAGTTTCTGTGGTGTCCTGGATCTACCCTAGAGACTGTGTTCTGTGTACTTTGGCCTAGCAAGAGGCTGTGGATGGTGAGTAGTGATGGGGTCTTTTCAGTTGTGGCACCATACCCCTGGAATACACTCTCCTTCTCCCTTTGCTACTGGTGTTTTGGCATCAGCTCAAATAATTTTTTATTAGGCTTTTTATTAGGCTTTATTATTATTATTGGGTTGAGCTATTCCTTGCTTTTGGGGTTATAATCCTGGTTTTGTACAATTTATTTGCTACTAGTTGTTTCAATATGTTCTTTAATTGTCATTTTAACTTTTGCCGATGACTGTTTTGATCACTACGTTTTTGAATTGTGGTTAGCTGTGTTGAACTTGCTGACATTTAGGAAAAGGCATTTTAGGAAAGCAGCATAAAAATAATTTGAATGAATCAGTACTGAAATATCCTGCATGGAACAACTACGGAAGTATTGCAAATTGTAGGCAATTGGATTTTTATTTTTAACCACTTCCAACACAGAGAAGAAGCTGGCTAGATGTGTATTACATTAAAAACAAATGCGTTGCTCCTTTTATTATGCCTACACTGATCTTTGAACACAAGCAAAGTGCAAAAGTACAAAGGGGTAGTAAGGGACAGGGGATTTGCAATTAAGCAAAAATAAAGAAGGCCACTTATCGATTCAATTAACAGTACAGTTCTGGTTTGCTGAGGGGGGTAGATCTTTTGGAGTCCAGCCAAGGATACCTGAGTTTAAATTCCTGCTCAGCCATGATGGTTGTTAGATAAAGTAACGTCGGCGCGGTCTTTATGTGTAAGCCTAGCCTCCATCACAGAGCTGTTGTTAGGAGGAAACGGGATAACTGTATAGGTGGAAGTGTGGAACCCAAATGTGATAAAATAAATATTCAATGCCAACAATGCTGTTTGTTCTCTGCAGAAGATTTCACAAGGCAGCTTTGCGGGACCAGAGCCGTGGGCCCATCTTGTCTAGCGTCCTGTTTCACCCAGTGGCCAAGCAGGGCTCAATCCTCTCCCCTGTTGTCCCCCCCTCATCTGAGCATCTGATACTCAGAGGTATACTGCCTCTGAACATGGAAGTTCCATTCAACCATTGTAGCAAACAGCTGTTGACGAGGTCTGTTAGCCTCATCCCCTTTTGGAAATAAATAAGTGCTCACTGCTTCCTGTGGCAGGGAGGTCTGTGAGTTAATTATGTGCTGTGTGAAGGAGTCCCTCTTCTGGTCTGTCCTGAGATGGTGACACAGTTCTGTAGACAGCGCGCACAGTCCAGCTCAGAAAACCAGAATGGCGAACAGGCTCCAGAATGCAGGCCATCTTCTTTTCCTTAAAGAAGTGTTCGGCTTTGTGGTGAATCAGGTCCCGTGCTGCACATTTGGTGAAGAACAGAATGCTGCTTCCTTTTATATCTAACTGTTAATGTTGTTCCAGCCCGCAACCACTTCCTTATGCTGTTCCAGTGAACGTCACCCTCGCAGGGCTCTTTTTGTAGCAGGTACTCATTTGCATATTAAGCGACACACCCCTCAGAAGAGCTCTGTAAGCTCGGAGGATTGGCTACATTAGGGGTGTGTGGCCTAATATGCAAAGGAGTTCCTGCTACTAAAAAGAGCCCTTCGCAGGAGGGCCAGACCGGTCTGTGTTTTCCTCTCAGGGCTTGTGGATCTTTGTGTAATGGGCTGCTTGTGCTTCCAGGGAGGACCTGTGGGTGAGAGAAGGGCAGATCCTGAACCCCGAGAAGCTCTTCTTTGATGAGAAGAGACCGGCAGACGTCCAGCTCGACTGCAAGGGGAGCATCATTGCGCCCGGCTTCATCGATGCGCAGATCAATGGTGAGACTCTAGAACTGCCAAGCACAGGGGCAGAAGCAGGCGGTATGAAGTGTCTGGACATCATAGCCTCTGCAGGCTAAGGAAACGAGCAGGATTCCTCTGCATGTAGAAACCATACGTGTGTCCTAGTGGCGATGCAGCAGTCAGAAGATCGCTGGGTGACCTTGGGCTGGCCTGACCTACCTCACAGGGTGGTTGTTGTGAGAATAAAAAAAAAAAGAGGCCGAAGCCTTCCCCTGATGTTGCCTCCTGGCTCTGGGGTTCAGAGGTTTAGAGCTTCTGAATGTGGAGGTTCCCCTCAGTCCCTACGGCTAGTAGCCACTGACTAGATCTATCCTCCATGAATCTGTCTAATCCCCTTTTAAAACTGCTTATTCCTGTGGCCATCACTACATCCGCTGGCAGCGTTATTCTACACTTGAATCACTCTCTGTGTAGGATGTTGTAAGCTGGTTTGGGTCTCCCAAAAGTAGGGTATAAATAAATTAAAAAAAAAACCCCCAAAATAACATGTTACTCAGATTGGCTTGTTTTGCGTAGTGTCTTGCAGACAAGTCATGGAAGAAATCCTGTGTGCCTACTCTAGTTTGGTGTAGTGGTTAAGTGCGCAGACTCTAATCTGGGAGAACCGGGTTTGATTCCCCACTCCTCCACTTGCACCTGGCTGGACGACCTTGGGCAAGCCATAGTTCTGATAAGAGCTGTCCTTGAAAAAGAGCAGTTTGTGTCAAGAGCTCTCTCAGCAGCCCCGCCTACCTCACAGGGTGTCTGTTGTGGGGAGGGGAAGGGAAAGGAGTTTGTAAGCCGCTCTGAGACACCTTTGGGTAGTGAAGGGCGGGGTATAAATCCAATCCCTTCTTCTTCTTCTTCTGGCTGCTGAGAGTTCTCTGGGCATTCCCGCATTCCCAAGCCTCTCTTGGTAGTGTTAAAGGACAGGAAACAACACCCCCCCCCCCGCAGCCGCGCGCAAACTCCAGGTGGAAGCTGAGCTCTTCAGGGAGCTGAATACTCCAGTGGGTACCCAGCTTCACCCTTGCTTGCGTGATGCAACGGAAGTATGCTTGCCTGGGAGGACTGGACTCATTTCCCCTGCGAGCTCGGAACTGGCAGCCGAGGAGTGTGGGGAGAGAATTTGAGGCAGAGGTTTGGTCTGGTCACCATCGCCAGACTCTGATGGCTGGTACAAGGTGGCCAGCCAGACCTGCAAGAAGCAGCTAGGACCTAAGTAAGCCAGAGCAGGCCAAGCGACAAAGCTCAGTTCTGCCCCTAAGAGCATCTGAGGCCAGCCTGGACTTTGGCTGGTTTCTCTCAGTAGGCTGGCGAAGGTTGAGGCAGCGGGTTGGGTCCTGGAGTTCACTGTTGTCTCCTCTGACCGGCGGTGGCTCCTCCAGGCCTCAGGCAGAGAAGGGCCTTTCCCCAACTCCCTGAGGTCCTTTGCAGAGGGCCTGCCACCAGTGTTCCCTTTAAGCTGTGGAGTCTTGTGAGCAGAAATTTTTACTTTGTGAGCTACTGGCATTCAAGGTGTGAGCGGGCGATTTGCCTAGTGCATAAATCAGTTTGCTCTGGAGCCCTCCTTCCAGAGCTGAGACAAAAGTGTGGGAGCTGGAGGCTAAAGAACTGTGAGCTGGCTCACACTAACTCAGCTTAGAGGGAACACTGCCTGCAACTCACCTTGGTCTAACCTCTCTGCCAGTGGGGGGGCCAGGCCTTCCAAGTGATCTCAGCTGGTTCCTGGGCTCCATGCTCACCAATGGAACTGTCGGGGGGGGGGCGTTGCCGTTTGGGGTCTCAGTTTTAGCTCTGGGGGGCAACAGACACCTGCCGTAGAGAAAGAAAACCAGATGATCATCAAGCGGTGTGCCAAAAGAAAATCCCGGGTGAAGGAAGATTAACGAGAGGAAGGGACTTTGAACAAATCAGATAAGCTTCGTGCGGATGTCTGCGATGTGTTGGTGGCCATCATCAGCTGCCTTTTAAGGAAGAGCCCTGAAGGGGTCTAGGCCACTGTTCCCTCTAAGCTGAGATAGTGTGAGCCAGCTCACAGTTTTTTAGCCTCTGGCTCACGCATTTTTGTCTCCGCTCAGGAAGGAGGGCTCCGGAGCAAACTAATTCATGCAGCAGCCAAATCGCTCGCTCACCACTTTAATGCCGGTAGCTCACAGACTAGAATTTTTGCTCACAAGACTCCACAGCTTAGAGGGAGCATTGGTCTAGGCCTTGTGTGCGGTTTTGCAAGGTGCTTGAACACTCTCTGCAGGCCATGGGTGGAATCTGAGCTGCAGATTTCCTGGCTGCAGGGAAACATAATGCCGGCCGGGGCACACAGCGCTTGAAGAAAGAGGAAGAGCAGGAAGAAGCCCTTGTGCTACGCAGCAGAAAAGAGCAGGAGACGGTGTTTAAAAATTTCGATTGATGCTCCTGGGTGTTGCTTGCTGTGCTGATGCCAGATGCCTTGCCCTGCCCAGGGCTGGTCGGAGGCGGATAGTCCTGCTTCCAAAGCTGTGCTAGTGACTCAGCTCGCAAAGGGGGAGAGCCCGTCTTCCATGCCCAGCCTGTGCCTAGCTGTGCGTTGGGTCTTGAGGAGCAAAGCCCTCTTTCTGTGTTTTCCTTGCTTCCTCCAGGAGCTTTTGGAGTGGATTTCTCTGTGGCCACGGACAACGTGGGAGCAGGCATCTCGCTGGTCAGCCAGAAGATCCTGTCCCATGGGGTGACCTCTTTTTGCCCCACCTTGGTGAGCTCCCCCTCGTCTGTATACCACAAGGTAAGGAGGCATTAGCATTGTTTTTTTGTTTTGTTTTTAATAAACACTTTATTGAGTTTTATAATTGTCCATAAAGCATTAACAGTTTTTACACAAATAAAACAAATATAGAGACTGAAAAACTGGTTACCAGAATAATAGGTGTATCACAGTAATATAATTCGATAAACTCAGAAAACCACAAAACCCAACAATAAAAAATGCAAACCTGAAAACTTACATTAACAATGCACTAATATTATATATAGCCCATTTTTCACAGATCATTTTCTCTGCCTCTACCTTCTCCAAGAAAGGAAACCATTTATCTAAGGGGTTAAGAATTAACCTTGTCATAACTTTCCTATCAGAAAAAAATGAAAACTTTTCTAGGGTAAAATAATCCCATTGTATTGTAACAAATTTAGGCCTGAGTTCAAATGTCACCTCCTCTGTAAATTCTCTAGAAAGCCTGGGCAGGTTGCTTTCATCATCCATGTCCCATCTGCAAACCGGGAATTATGCTGAACTATGTCTCCAGCACATTTTTATCCTTCTCTTCCCCCTCCCAAGGACCATTTCCTGATTTTGTCCTAATGACAGCCCTGTGAGGTAGAGAGAGTGTGACTGGCTGTTTGGAGATTCAAACCTGGGGCTCGCCTGTCATAATTGTCAGTCTTAACTGTTGGAAGGGGAGGGCTATATGCTGTCTCTTAGCCTCAGCCTCCAGAGGGGGTCACCAGCAGGGGTCATTTCGTAGAAAAAGAGGCGCAGGAGCTCATTAGCATAACTCATGAGCAGAACTTATTTGCATATGCCACACCCCCTGACATCACCGGAAGTGTGTCAGAAGGCAACACCCACCGCTCAGGCTCCACTGGACTGTTTTGGATTGCTAGCTATTGGAGGGGTGGGGGAACTTGCAGATCTGTCCTCACAGAGGAGGGAGAGCTTGTACCTGAATAAAACTTGGTGTTAAAGGTGCCACTGGACTGTTTTGGCCCAGGGGGCTAGGGGGAGGGCTCTGCAGCTTACCTGGCTGCTTCTTGCTCTGACCGAGGGCTGCTGGGAGCAGGGGGTGGGGCTTGTTGCATGTGCCCACCCCCTGGGCTCTTTACTGCCGGAGCTCCGCTCCTGTGCGCTCCTGCAGGAAATGACCCCTGGTCACAAGAGAGTCAGATAGCTAGACAAGCAAAAACTGAGCATCCTTCCTGTTTACTCTTCTGCCTCTGTCCCTTTGATGTGTAGACTGATACTCTCAGGGAATAATAAGTAAAATTGAATGTATGTATAAATAATAATAATTGTTATTGTTATTGTTGTTGTTGTTGTTGTTATGGTTATTATTACTGTTGTTATTATTGTTTTGTTGTTGTTGTTGTTGTTGTTGTTGTTATCCTGCCCTCCCCGCCAAGGCATTCTCAGGGCGGCTCACAGAAAGAGTATATATACACACACACATAAATATAAAACGGCAAAATAGTTAAAACACAATATTTCAGTAGATAAAATCACGACATATAAAATCATATAAGTGCCAATAAACATAAACATCGATAAATATTGATAAATATTAGTAAGAATTGCTTCCTTCCATCCATCCATTCACACACACACACACACACCCTCTCTCTCGTGGACACACAAAGAAGGAGCAGGTTGCTCTCCAACTGGAAATTGTGCTGAACTACGTCTCCAGCACATTTTTATCCTGCTCTTCCCCCTCCCGAGAGCCTTTTCCTGGTTTTGTCCTAACGACAACCCTGTGAGGTAGAGAGGGTGTGATGGATGCGGGACATGCATCTCTGCGTCTGCATCCATTGTAGTTGGTTTAGTTAGATTCTATTCCTATCTCTCATCTATCCTATCTAGAATGGAGTTTGCTAGAGAAAGAACTCTTTATCAGGTTTGAAACTGATAAGTGGCCCTGTGTAACTAGCACATACAGAACAAAAAAGCTGCTGCTGCTGCTGCTTGTAGCCTTTTCGTGCACTCTGCTGAACAAGACAAAGATTACTGGCTTTCTATATGAGTGCATCTCGCATTAACATTAACCACTACATTATCACACATGACTTCTAACACCTCTCCGTTATGCTGGAAGCTATGTGGAGAAAAAGCCACATTCTTCCATACATGGTGGTCATGTATACACATCTATAACTTTTGGTTAGAAGTGAAAACAAAAATATTAACATTGACAGGCTATGACTTACCTTTAGACCCACAAATTATATTGTTAAACCTGTGGCCTGAAGAGTGTTTGCCTACGTCACAAAAACAACTAATAAAGATTTTATTAACGGCAGCAAAAATAGCAATAGCTAAAGCCTGGAAAGACACCCTCCTTCTACTAACCTATGGATATCTAAAGTTTGGGGGTTTTTTAATGTATGAAAATATTTCTATAATACCATGGTTCAAAACGAATGTGAATTATACAACCCTTTGGGGAAATGGTATCCTATTATAGACAAAATTTCTATTGATAACGTTGACTGGGAAACTTATCAAAAACGTTAAATTTAAACTAATGTTATTTGGTTAAACAGTTCAAGTTTTATGTATTATACACTCTTACATGTAACTGAAAATCTCTGAATGTTCTTTTATGATACTTTTGTAGAAATCTTGGCCACAAAGTCTACTATGTATTTTATGTAAAAATAATAAAATTGTTTTGGTTAAAAAAAACAAACCACAACATTAACCACTACACCACACTGGCTGTCCCATCTCCCAGTGTGGATGCGAAGTATCATACAGCCCCTAAGTGTTTAAAGTGTTAGGTGCGTGACTAACACTGTCTTTTCTGGCACCTGCTCTCATGCAAGGTTCTGCCCCAGATCTGCGTAAAAAACGGAGGGCTTGACGGTGCTGGAGTCCTGGGTGAGTAAGAAGCTCTCTTATCACTTGTTTGTGCGTCTTGTTTCAATTTAAAATGTTTTAACCCTGACAGCATGCATGCCTCTCTCATGATGGTTTGTTGCCTGTACTCCACAACCCAGAAGCCTATAAGCAAAAAAACAAGCAACAAACAATACAGCACACAGTCTAATATAGCCAGGAACCGCAAAACAAAACAACTGTGAGCTGAAATACCCGCAAGTATAAATGTACAAAAAGAGACTCTGTGTAACAGTGATTATATATTGTTATTAAGCATCATTGTTTAGAAGCTATATTGTTATAAAGCATTGCTGTATTTTATACTTTTACAATTTTGTACTTCTATAGTTCTTTGTTCCTGAGGAAGGACCGGGAGTCTGAAACACTATAAACTACCTAGGAAAAGTGTTGGATATCTT